GGTTGTAGAGCCAATGATGATAATAATCATTAGTTTGGTTAAAACATTTTGGCCTTTGTTTACATTGAAGCAGTTTTATTGTATTAATAACTTTAACAGTTATAATAACAGTTTTATTGTAATAATTAACTTAAGTTCCTATTAATATTGGTTATGAGCTCTTGTACTTGGTTGTATAATAACTTGGAGCCTCTTCCAGCCGGAAGTCAAAATTTAACTAACGCAGCAAAAAATAATTACTAAATTTACTAGGTAGTTGGAACTGGGATCATCCAATCGAGTATATTTTATTACTTTGTAACTGTTTGTAAATATTAAATTATTTAGATGTTGACGTTAATTCCATGTTGTATGTGTACATACAACATGGAATATTTGTTTATTATTATTAATCGTTATCTAACAAGCGTGTTATAAATATTTGCCAGTTTGCACTTAAAATTGTTATTGCAATATTATTTTTATTTTTCTGTTTACTATTTAAAATACATCGTAAAATACGTCAAAATAATAACAAATAAGAAATTTGTTACGTTTTTATATTAACTATTAATATATTTGTAAAATTAATAATTTGTAACTAAGTTATTTCGGTCTTAGACCATCATCGGAGCTAAGCTTAAGTCATATAGAAGGGATTCCAAAAAATTTACTTTCTCTATTCATCTGATTTACGTTAAAATAAATAGTATATATATATATATATATATATATATATATATATATATATATATATATATATATATACTATATACTATGTGTGTGTGTATGTGTGTGTGTGTGTGTCTTTACTCTGCGTAAAGTGTATTGTCGGAATAAAAGGTTATTTCTAAAGACATCATCCATTATGATTGACTTGATCTTAATACGAAGAAAACAAAGTACATGGTAGTCAGTAAGCGCAAAATATTAAATACACAGCTTTTGGTTAACCAACATCCAATTGACAGAGTGGACAGCTACACATACCTTGGTACCAACATTAACAGCCAATGGAATCACTCCAGTGAAATAAAACAACGCATAGGAAAAGCGAGATCGGCGTTCATAATGATGAAGTCTCTTTTCAGTAGTCATGATTTACCACTTGCTACCAAAATCTCTCTCATTAGATGCTATGTATTTTCTACCTTTTCATACGGAGTAGAGACCTGGACACTTTCCGAAGCTTCCTTAAGAAAACTCGAGGCATTCGAGATGTGGTGTTACAGACGTATCTTAAGAATTTTATGGGTAGATCGTGTGACTAATGTTGAGGTCCTACGTAGAATAGGCAAGGAATGCGAGATTATTAACACCATCAAAGAGCGCAAACTAGAATATCTTGGCCATGTTATGAGGAATGAACAGAGATACGGCTTGTTGCAACTCATTCTTCAGGGCAAGGTATTTGGAAAGAGAGGACCAGGGAGAAGAAGAATATCTTGACTTCAAAACCTGAGAAAGTGGTTTAATACATCGACAACCGGACTATTTAGAATAGCAGCAAGGAAAGTTAGGATAGGCATGTTGATCGCCAACATCCGGAACGGATAGGCACCGTAAGAAGGAGAAGAAGAAGAAGAATTCGAAGTTTATTTCAATTGTCATCATTGAAAAGTCTCCTGACTTCGTGTTTGTTCATACAGAGGTCGCTACTAGTGTAAACTTAACCATTATGTTACAATAATAGCCAGGAGGATGGACCGTTTCTTAAAAATTTTGAAAAGGTTTCAAAATAGAAAGAAATTGTGAACTACAACTGGCAAGATTGATCAGAAGTACAAAAATTGATTTTAATAGAAAGAAAAGAACAAAAATTTCCATACTAGATATAGACAAAGCCTACGACACAGTTTGGAAAAAATCCCAAATCTACAAGATGGAAAGAGCTAAACTGTCACAATAATTTCAACATATGTGATACATATTTGACTAATAAGATGTCCAGTCGTCCAAATGTCATACTATATGACATTTTTATTTCAGATTTGCCCGTCGATGCCAAAACAAACACAGCCATATATTCAATGTACCGGGTGGCCCAATAACCCGATCTCTCGGCAATATATCAGAAACTATTCATGTTATAACTTTAGGAGAAAAAATTCCTCAGTAAAAGTGGTCAAGAGAAATCGCTGGAAATAACTTGTGAAATATGTCCAATTATACCAAGTGTTAAATAAGTAAACTAGAAAAAGGCCTAAATTTCGCACAAAGTTGTTCAAAAGTACTTTGTTTTTTATTTTTTCAAATAAAGGGTGGGGGAGAGTGGGAAAGTATTTGTGGATAAATACCTATAACTTTGGTTTGGATCAACCGATTTTAACTAAATTAGTGTCATTAGAAAGAGTATGGAGGATTTAATTCATATCTACTATAAAACAATTGAATTTATTTTTAATTCTCATATGTAGAAGGTACTTTTGAATAGAAAAAATTAAAATTAATTTTCTTTAAAATGTTTAATGGAAACACCTATTTATTGTAAATTATAATGGAATTAGATTAAAGTCGTACCAAAACGGCGCAAACCGTATGTTGATAGCTTTTGTAGAACTCGAGATATGAATAAAAACGCATAAACATAAATAAGTATAGTATTGACTCACCCTTTATTATAACTTAAAATTAAATATGTGAAAGATAATACAAACATCTCGATCATTAAAACTTAATATCCAATTGAAGGTTTACATTGTTTTCCATCATTGTCCACACAAAGATGTAATATTTCGAGCGTAGACATAACAGCTGCTTCAATCTTAGCTGTTGATATACTATTTATTGCGTTTATAATGCGCTATTTCATCTCGACTTGCGTGGTTGGTCAAGTTTGGTACACTAATTCCTTCAATCTTCCCCACAGATAAAAGTCCAGATATATTAAGTCAGGAGATTCCCCTTCTAATCCATTTATTTGGATAACTTGCATACAAATAATCTCGAACTCGTCTGGAAAAGTGCGCAGGACACCCGTCATGTTGTAATATATCTCTTCTTGTTTGTAGGGAAATATCTTCCAATAAAACAAGCAACTGATTTTTCAGAAAATCCTAATATTTTTCGCCATTTAAAGTTATATTAAAGAAATATGGACCTACGATCTTTTCATCAACTATATCACACCAAACATTAAGACTCCATCTACCTTGAACCTGCACCTTATGTATCCAATGCAGATTTTCTTTGGCCCAATAATGCATATTATGCAGATTAACACCACCCGCACTATTAAACGTAGCCTCGTCTGTTCACAAAATCTTTGACATGATACGCGATTGTTCTTCTAGCAGACCTAACATCCAATTGCAGTAATCCAGCCTTGCATCAAAATCTCTCTCATATAAAGCTTGGTGGAGAACTACATGATAAGAATGCAGTCTAAAAAACAGAACAACAAATATTGGTGAAAAAGAAACCACTATATTTACTAAAACTCAAAAATCTTGAAAAATCTACAATTGTTTCACAAGATAAATCGTGCATAAGTATTTTTAAGAAACGGATAAAAGGATAAAAGCGCCGTGTTGCCGTTTTTATCGGAATATTAAAATAACAATAGAATCTAAAGTTTAAAGGGAATTCCAAGTTTCTGACCTAAACTTTCACTATATAATATGAAAAACCAACCTGTGATGTTTTACAATTCTTAGAACAGTAGTTTTGGGTATGTTTAATTCTATAGAGATTTGCCGATCACTTATATATGTGGATTCTGTTAAATTAAAGCAAGAACATTGATTGAATTATCTTCGGTCATAAGTCTACTAAATCGTTTAAAACAAGGACGATGAAAACTATCAGTTTCTCTTAATCTTCTTACCTTTCTTTCAAATACTTCTTTGCCATAATGTCTACTGTCAGGATATCTTACAGAATATAATACGTGAGGCAATAGCGGCATTTTGGTGACATTCGAAATAAACTCCAATCATATCATACAATTCTGCATTTAATATACTCATCACGGATTATTAGTACTCATAATTAATTCCAATATTAATATCTATTGAAAAAAGTGCAATCTTCAATTCGGATTATAAGACTTTCGAAAAAACTATTTTTAACCATATAAAATAACAATGGTCAAAATAGGTATCAACATTAAGATTTCTTTGCTATAAAAAATTTGAAAGTACCTACTGACTTATTTTTTAATTTAATTTATAATACAGGGTGAGTCAATACTATACTTACTTATATTTATGCGTTTTTATTCATATCTCGAGTTCGACAAAAGCTATTAACATGCGGTTTGAGCCATTTTATTACGAATTTAATCCAGTTCCATTATAGTTTACAATAAATAGGTGTTTCCATTAAACATTTTAAAGAAAAACGAATTTTTATTTTTTCTATTCGAAAGTACCCTCTACCTATGACAATTAAAACTAAATGCAATTATTTTATAGTAGATGTAAATTAATTTATCTACACTCTTTCTAATAACAATAATTTTGTTAAAATCGGTTAATCCAATCCAAAGTGATAGGTATTTATCCACAAATACTTCCCCACTCTCCCCCACTCTTTATTTGAAAAATAAAAAATAGTACTAAAACAACTTTGTGAAGAATTAAGGCCTCTTTCTAGTTTACTTATTTAACACTTGGTATAATTGGATATATTTCACAAAAACTGGTTTTCAAATTTTTCTTCACAGGTTACGCACCCTAGCGGTTAACCCAGAAACTTGAAGGTTATTTCCAACGATTTTCCTTGGCCACTTTTACTACGAAATTTTTTCTTCCAAACTTATAACATGAATAGTTTTTGATATATAGCCGAGAGATCGGCTTATTGGACCACCCGATACAATATACAGTGCAATATACAGTGCAGACAAAGACCACAGGAGGATTGTCGGGTAAGTATACTTAAGCGTAATTTCATATTTATATTTCAATTTAACATAAGTAACCTCTTTAGTTACGCAGAATACAAAAAGATGGATGGCTCTTAAAATTTCATCATAAATACTAATCAGAAACAAACTTTATGAAAATTCCTCTACAAACCTCTCTCTGCGATCCATCTTCAATAGACCTCGATATAGTTTCATGTCCAGTAAATACGTCTGTCCAGTAAATATGATTTCCATCGTATGCTATTCCGACTACTTGTTTTAAATCTTTAGCCACTGTAAAATAATCTAAAGAATCTAAGGTTAAAGCTCGAATTTCCTGCTTGGAACTAAAGATCATTATTCCACTTCCGCCAGTTGCTTTACAAGTTCTTTTATCAGCTTGGAGTTTGTATTTATCATCACAGTAGCATTCGTATGATCCAGGAAGATTTCGACATTTTTGGTCGCATATACCTAAAAAATTATCAAAGTAAATATAAAATTTAAGTGTTTTTCCTACAAAAACAGAAAATATTTAAAAACATTACGGAATATATCTTAATTAATTTAATATTTTGAGTAGCGAGTAGGTGCCCTTCCTTTAGTGAAGAAAAGATCTACTTCAAGGATGCGACTCTGATTTAGCCAAGCCTTGATTCTTTATCAACTACTGTAATGGACAGAAATCATGTCTGTAGTAAACCCATTCCTGCCCAATATGTACAATATCCTACCAATTTCTCAAACCAACTTGCCACCTCGCCTGGCAAGCGTGACGTTTAATGCCAAAATCTCCTTAGCATCAACAGACAATCAAGAAAAGAGCACTTAGTCCTTAGCAGCTCACTCGTTTTCAACCAAGATAGCGGTAGATTCAAGGACAGCGAACAGATGGTAAGAAAAATCCCCGTTCTAAAGGATATTACCAACAACAACGAATACTGTACGTAATATTGCATATAATGTAAGAAACTTATCGACAAATGAAAAAATGACAGAACTGGACGAAGAACTCAACTAGGTCAAATGGGATATTGTAGCAAATAACCAAGTCGAAAGAAGGGGAAAGATCAGGTCAAATTAAGATCAGGTAACCTTTTCACTTGTAGCGTTTTAAATTTTTATAATACGTCCCTGTTCGTTTATCTCGTCAGTACGCATAAAGATTGCTGTAAAGATTGACATATGACATTTGCTGTAATCCATTGTTTTTGTAAAACAATTTTAATTTGATTTTCATATATAAAAGGTATTTCATATAAGTATAAGGTTAAATTCAATAATATTTTTATAAAAAGGATATCCATAAAATTTTGATAATCTAAATTGGCCACATTATAACCTAGGAACCATTTCAAAATGTTTGTAGTAATCTTTTATGTGAACAAAGAACATGTAAGTTTTTGTTATATGTTATATAATATGTTTCTTTTGTAATCTGTATTTTTGATAACTGTTTGTTTGAGACAAAAATAAACGTTTAATTTGTTTCTCTGATCTATTTTGAGTTTTATTTGAAAAATATATGTTTTTTATATGTTTGATGAAAAATATATGTTTGATGTTCTATAATTATTTCCCTAGTTACAACTAGTGGTTGTAACAGGTATAATTAGTAACCTCAAGTGGCGCCCCATATTAAATTCCTTGAGGTGTTTCCTGTTTATTTTTATTTTGTTTATCCCAAGAGATTAAGTACCCCTTTATTTCCTTTTTTGTAGTTGCCCCAATCCAACCCCCATATCTTCAACTTATCCACGGCCCAGCTCTCCAACAACCAACTGAGTGCAGTACGCACTACAGTAAATTAAACTTCAAGCTATGGACGATGGAAACAAATGCACGCTGAAAACACGCGTTTGTTCAGGGCCGGACTAGTAAATTAAAGCTGCAATACAAAACCTTATATAATTTGTAGACGTCTGACAGGTACAGATTATAGTACACCAATTTTTTAAATATAAAAATGATTTACAAAGTCGAGAGTTAATAACAACAAAATAAAGTTTATAAAATTACCGTATTTTATTTTAAATTTCAGAATCTGATGTACTGCTGTCATCATTAAAGTTAATAATGATAGGCTCAATTTGTGCCTCAATTAAATTGTCTAACTCCCACATTTTTGGCTCCAGTTCTTCTTTTACATGTTGTCGCAGTTTTTCCATTTTTCCATGGTTACGGCAGACATAGCTTCATGGAATAAATTTTTAATGTCAGCAAATTTAAATGTTGTGTTATGCCATGCTACATAATTCCTGACTTCCGCCCATACAAGCTCGATTGGATTGAGCTCGCAGTGATACGGTGGCAATCTTAAAACTATTCTATTTGTGATTCTTACCAGTTCATCTACTATGTACTTATTATATTCGCCTTTATTTTGTTTAACGATTTCTAAAAGTTGCACCTTTAACATCGTTTCTTCAAAGGGGCTGTCTTTTGAGCGAAGCCGATTTTGAATATCTGCCTTTTTTGTAGCCATAATGGGAATTTTTTCCAATTTTCTGGAATGGTAAGAGGCATTGTCCATTACAATTATAGCATTTTTATCCATTGTTGGTAAAATCTCTTGGAGCCAATTTTCAAATGACTTCCCATCTATCTCCTCATGATAGTCTCCACTCTTGCTTGACTCAAAAGCCCACAGTGCATCCGGAACAAAACCATTCTCGCTTCCGATGTGACAGATTATAAATCGTTTACCTTTTCCTAAAAGCGATATTAAAGATAATAAATAAAAAATTTAAGTTTATTAAAAGTTTATTTGAATTACCTGAGGGATATTTTAAGCCGGTCGATAGCCCATCCAAAAATGCACGTTGTGCAGAAGTCAAAGAAGCATCCACCCAAACTTTTGGTTTTGTATGGCCAGCATTTATTCAGGTTTCGTCTAAGTAATAAATGGTTCTATTTTCAGCTTTCTATATTTTCTTATGTTCTTTTCTTTCTGTTTCTTTCACGTTTTTGAATTTTAAAATTTAATTTTTGTAAGAGTTTGTAAAACGTGGTTCTCTTAAAATTTGGTAAGTCATTATCATTATTTACATCTCTTAGGACTTTGTCAATTGTAGGAATTTCATTGCGGAAAAAATACTGATGAACCATTCTTCTTATAGCTGACTTATCAAAATCATCTACAGCATCTATTGATTTTGAATGGTTTTGGTTTGTTTTCGGTGCAGATAATGTATGGGTACTTTTATATTCTTTAATGACATTGAAAACAGTTTTTGAACAAACTCCAACTTTATCTGCAACCCTTTGTTGAATGTCCGTTAACGCTAAAGTAAGATTATCTTGTAATTCACATTTGTATGTATTAACCATTATTTCTTTGGTTCTTATATCTACGTGATTTTTCTTAGCTCTTTTCCTAGGAGGACTTAGCGTTAACAGTTCCTCATTTTCATTTGCCGACTCCGTATCAGACATATTAAATAAATGGATTTATTATACTTTTCTCAACTAAAGTAACAAAATGGGCATTTTCAAATTTACTTTTATAGTAGAGGATCCGATATAAGGTTTACCTACACCGCTTTGTTAAATGTGATATTTTTTACTTATGATTTTCTCTTCCAGTTTTAAATTATTTATAACTCGAACACGATCGACTTAAGAAAAATTACAAAATAAATTTTTGTTTAGAATGATCCAAAAAATCTAAAACAATATCTTCCGGGTTGATTTTTATTTTAAATATATAAAAAAAAAGGTATTTTTTAACTCTTTTCGGCACATCGGATTGAAATTTGAACTACCAAATTTTTGCTACATGTTGTACAGTAGTCCACAAAATGAATCACTTATTAATCTATTTTTATCAAGTTACACCTACGCAAGTGGTTTGTATTACTTATTCCCTCTGTCCCTATTAAGTGTTATCTTTAATTGGTAAAATTCCCACGGTATAGTTATCGGCCAAACGCGAATGGTTATCAGTTGTTTCTTGAAAAGTGAGGTCATTTTACTTTTTACGTGTGCAATTGAATCTTTCTATGTCCCAAGGGTCCATTGTAAAACATTTATAAAATCTTGCCACAAAGAATTTAAATTAATTATAGTCAGAACAAAATTATATCGGGCACCTCTTGTTTTTCGACCGACCGATCATGACATATGGCATAGAAGTGCGCGAAGATACCAACAAAACGAAACAGATGCTAAGGGTTGCCGAAATGAAAACCCTAAGAACAATAATGGGGAAAACAAGAAGGGACAGAGTGAGAAATACAAACATTAGAGAGCAGTGCAAAATTCAAGATATTGTAAGATGGGGAAGACAGCGCAAGAGGATGTGGTACAACCATGTAAGACGAATGGATGAGAATAGACTCCCAAAAATTGCCCTAGAAAACAATCCGCCTGGTTCAAGACCCCCCGGAAGACCACCTAAAAGATGGAGGGATAGTTGGCAATCTACCTCCCAAGAAATTAACCAGAGGCAGCTTCAGAATTAAACAGATCGAAAGATCTACAAAAAGTAGAAGAAGAAGAAGAAGACCTCTTGTTTTTCATAATTTTTAACATACTAAATAATTTTTATCCATTAAACGTATCAGTGCAGGTCGATATTATATCGTATCTTATGGCTATTATAAATGCTTTATTATACTTACAGGAATTATTTTAAAGTGGGGAAAAAATTTGTATCGACTATAATTAAATGTTCTTAAAAATGCTTTGCACTATCAACACACGAGCTAACGATTAACAAATAAACAAACCAACAAACAGCTTTGCACAAACATTACTGGGCCATTTCGCATTAGACAGAGGATGGAGCGGAAAAACGAAGTCCGCACCTGTTAGGGCTAACTGCATGACTTACGATCGTTCGACAATTTGGCCAATATCAAGGCGCTCGTCACGTGTAGACTCGAATATCACGCGGTGACTTGTGTTGATTCTGTCCGTTACTTGAAGTTGAATTTACTTTAGTTCCGATTATTTTGTTTGCCCAATCTTCTCCCCCATGTTCTTACCCTGAGGTAAGCAAAAAATAGTCGTTACACACTACAAAGGGAAAATAGGATTGACAACTGGAGAAATAGGTCTATTAATATACAGAAAACTACAGAAAAATATACATGGTATTTATTGCATTTTAGCAAGAGTTATGTATATAAATCTAAGACTCAACAAGAGATACAACCTGAAAATAATCAAGGTATACACAACCCTAGCGATTATGAAGATAAACTTGTTGCAGACTTCTGTGGGGATATCGAAAAAGTAATCAGCAAAAACCGGCCCATTACAATCTGATAATGGGAGATCTTAACGATAAAATGAATGAACAAGAAGTGGTAATCGGAGAATTTGGAATCGGAGTAAGAAATGAAAGAGACGAAATGCTGATTAACTTTCTTTGCAACACAAACTACATGCAAAGAACACCTTTTTTATGAAGAAAACAGAATTAAAAATGGATGTGAGTTAGTTCAGACGGAAGAACTCGAAGTGAATATGATTATCTAATAAACGACAAAAAACAAATAAACGGAGTTTTTTTATAGACATGTAAGTTGGTAACACTTTTTTAACTGACGGCCATTTTGACAGCTATCAAGTGATTAATATTAAGTTCGGTTTGGCATTTCAGCATGAATAGACTTGACGCCCTAACAACACTTCCAAATTGTACAAATTTATTTTGAAAATTTTGGTTCTGTTTGAAATACGTATCACACACTACCTCCCTCCATTTTATGGTCAACATAATAGTCTATTAGAGCAAGTAATTTAATTAACCATGGAACATTTTTGCACCACGTTTACTCTAATTGATAATATGCCTCCACAGACATGTCGTACAGAAGAAGTTGTTGTGAAGATAGACTGATTCTTGAAGAATCAATATATCTGCCATCGTTCACAGCAGTTGAATACGTTTCCCTTCACTTTATGGTAGATTTTGCGGAACGATCTTACTTTACGTGCTTACAAAATCCAACTCATTAAATCGCGCAAGAATTGAAGGTACATTATCAACTAGCAAGGTGTAGATTCGTAGATTCGGTGAGAGGCAAGGCAAAAAAATTTTACCAGTTAAGTTTCCAAAGAGGACCATTAAGGCCCGTCCTCACTTACTAACATGTTTTCGAAACTTGTTGGCAATATGTTTCTAATAACATGTTGATAACTGTTGTGTTGAACGTTGAATGTCCTCATTAGGGTTGCAAGCAGTATGTATTATTTTTATAGTCCAGTCTATTTTAACACGTCCGACGAAAATGATGTATTTTCGCGGGTGCCGCTTACGTAGTTCTAGCGTGTAAGGTTTTTTATTATTTCAGTTTTTGAATAAAGAAACAATAAAACAACTACATACTTATAATTAAATTCAATTTTGTAAGTTGTTACCTTAATACGAATCTTCAAGAGTGGGTCGCGGCTTGTTCTCACATTTTAAAAACATCAAAATATTAAATGCGAATCACTTGCTCACGTAAACCTCATCAATGCCGTCTTCTGAATAAGATTTACTTATCTTAACTTCCCTCTGAAATTCTCCTATTATGCTTTGAATCTTTTTTCTGTTGCATCTTTTCGTACTTTCTATTGTCTCTAAATATATCAATTAAATGCATAGTTGCGTTTTAGACCACTCCATTTTTTCCACAAAACTCAAAAAATATCAAAACAAATCACAAAAAATATGTCCCGTATTTACTCGCTTCCGACCTATAATACAACCGAAGAGTAGATTAAAAGCATTAAGTGAGGACGCAGTACCAACCTGTAGCACCAACATGTTGCCAACATCCTTTCATCTTTACTGCTCACCGACGCAACGGGTAACAAATAACTTGTTGAAATAACACGCAACATGTTAATTTTTAGTAGAATTTCGATAAAATGCTAAATAACATGTTATGTTACTAAGTGAGGACGGACCTTTAGACTAAAAGTTTTCCTGTGTCCACTTCACAACGCTGGGATTCATGAAAAATTTCGTAACAAAGCTATAAATAAAAATGATACAAAGTTATTATGTTTTTTTTTTCAACATAATAAATCCAAAAAACAATATTAAAAAAATCGAAATGATTAGATTTTTTTTTTCATTTTTGATTTTTTTCTGAGCATACTTAGGTGACATTGCTTTAACAAACAAAAGCTTGTACAATTTTCTTTAAAATTGGGGTTTATGAAGGGTTAATCCATTAAAAATTGACCGAGACATAATTGATTAAAATTAGGAATTTTTGCTATTTTTTAACGTATTATTTAGTATCTAAATAGTATCTTAGTATCTAGTAATAAAAAACTAATATAACACCAGTCAACAAAAAAATTTTTGCGCAAGGGTTTTACTTTTACACAATATTTTCTGATTTTGGTGAAAGTAGTGTTTCATGCGTCGCTGGTTGTGGATGACAGAAGTTTTTGCATATTACAGCTGAATAACTTGTTTTTTATTTCCTAAATAGCTGATATAGGTGAATATTTTATTTACTGTCCAGCTGTACAAAATGGCTTCGAGAAGCTTTTACTTGCGGCGAATTGATTGAAGTAAAAGCTAGAGTCCCTAAGGAACAAGGGAAAGGAAACGATACCAAGGCCAGTATACTAAAAGCATGATGGGGAACCACATTTGGGGTTTAATGTGGTTCCCCATTAGGAAAAGTAAAATTGTTCAATTGTTGTGTTGAGTTGGTTCTCAAATCAGGCAGCAAACTTCTATAACCACGAAATACAAAAGCTTGTTGTTCAAATTAAACTATTTAATACTAGTGATAATTATATGAAAAATATATGTTTATATGTTCTCTTTACAATTAATTAATTTTACTTTTATAAAATATACAATTTTTACAAAAAGTTTACTTGTTGTTTTTAACATCAAACCGGTACTTACTTTAAAAATAGTCATCGTAAAAAACTAAAAGGTACTAATGAAATACACTACACATATAAAGATTGTAAAATGAAAACACAGCAGGAGTACACCCGAAAAAACTGTTCAGACAACACAATTAATACCGATAGACTACACTATCGAAGTATAAAAAGTTTATCCTTTATTCATTGCTTTTACTACTCTTTTCTTCCCGTATCTAGTGCACTATACTACATTGAAATACTGTATATAACCGTAAGTAGATAATCAATTGTTTAAAATACTTACCATAAATCGTACATTCATTAATATCCAAACAATTCGAATCATCAATCGTATGATATCCATTCGGGCATAGACATTTTGGACCCGTTGGAAGTGAGATACATGTATGCGAACATTTATTATTCTTACATAATACTGTAGACGAATTGCAAAGTTTCCCTTCGTCAGAAAAATCAGGACAATCAAACTTATTATCACAGACTGAGTGAAGATCTATGCAAGTTTTATTGTTGCTACACAAGAATTTTCTTTTATCCCAAGTGCATTGATCAAGTGGTACGTGGTTTTCTAAAAAATAATATAAATTGAAATAGTTATGTTAATAATTTATTAAAAAAGATAATAATCAGCCTTTTCTTTGGATTTATCGAAGGATATGTGGGAAAAAATGGGATTTGAAACCCGAACAGATCTACTGGGTATATATGACTGTAGTCAGACCTATGATTACGTATGGCGCACTAATATGGTGGTCTAAATGCCAACAAAAGATTATCAAAGAGAACCTGAATAAGCTTCAACAGCAAGCAACAGACGCCATGCAATAAAAATATAATGTCAAAAAGCCATTAACCGTCCCCTTACCAAGATAAGATGAATGGGAGGAATGGGATAAAACAAATCTTAAAATGACAAATCAATGTCGGTATACAGGCGGCTCTAAAACCCATGAAGAAGCTGGGGTATACGGAGGGAAACTAAGGCTAAGCCTTAGTGAAAGCCTAGGTAATCATAGTCAGGCGATATTAAAGGCACTGGAATCAAATCAAGCGGATTGACTCTAAGTTAGTTTGGAACTGTCTTCAGAATCTGATTTGGATCAGAAAAATAACAAAGTAAGCTAACTATGGGTGCGTGGACATACTAGTATTGGTGGAAACGAAATGAGTATTAAACATTCGAATGCTTTTATACATGAACCTTAGAATATCCAAAGATCTACTAGAGATAAATAGGAGTAATCTGCGGATGATCGTATACGACGATCGATACGACCACACAGAAATTAGTTTCAAAAATAAGAGGTCCTAAGAAGAGTTAATGGGATAGCGGGTAGATACTTCTCTGTGATCCCAGCAGGGGATAGATATTCAGAAATAGCACACCTGCTCACGCAAACTTATGGATTTCCCCAATCTCCCATTCCCGGAGAGACCATGTCCAAACCCAAAGCATTCTTATCTCTGCTTTTTTTTCCCCACTTCCAAATCAACTTGCCAACACGCACTAGCCAAGTGTGGTGTTTTAATGGTTTAAAACCCCAAAAGTTATTTTTCATAAAAGACGAAACTACTGAACGACCCTCAGTCTCCGGCGGCTCCAACACCCCCAACCAGAGTAGTGGTTAGAATAGGTTTGGAGCAGAAGGTGCTAAGAATCCCCAAAAACAGTCAGGCTACTATAAAGAGCGAAAAATGCATATAACTTCATACAATGTTAAAACTCATATCAGATCAGAAGATGATGGAACGAGAGGAAGCGCTGAAAAACATAAAATGGGACATCATCGGCCTTAGTGAAATAAGACGAAGAGTAGAAGCCCAAATTACTCTAAAATTAGGACAAGTATTTTATTTTAGAGGTAGAGTCACTTTAAATGTTGGAGTAGGATTCATTAGACATAGAAAGCATACACAAAATTTAAATGAAATTATCAGCATAAGCCCCAGGATTGTATATCTCATCGTCAAACTAAATGCAAGATATAATCTTAAGGTAATCCAGACATATGCTCCAAAGACTACCAACTCGGATTAAGAAATTAAAAAGTTTTATGATGACTTAGAAACATGCCACACCACCATATGACACAATAATTATGGGCGAATTTAATGCGAAAATGGGGTTCTCTCTTTGGGGGAAAAACGGCTCTCCAAAGCTATTCACGACGCTTTTAGAACATATTTGTTAGACAGCATAGAGTATGGTATCAACATAGATGAATAAAAGCTTTATCATTTGAGATTTGAAGATGACATCGTCCTTACAGCATATTGTATGGATGATGCAATAATAATGTTTGAAAAATTATATCACGCTTCCTTGGAGGTTGGACTAAAGATTAATATGGATACTGTGCAGATTACATCGTATAAGTACATAGGGCATAAAATTCGGTTAAGCAGAGATAGCCAGACATGCGAGCTCCCACGTCAAATAGGATTAACCTGGGCAGGGTTTGGTAAATTAAACTATGTATTTAAATCGGATATCCCATATGCCTCAAAGGAGAATCTTTGACCAATGTGTGTTATCTGTACACATATGGAGCAGAAACATTAATACTTACAAAAAAGGTAGTTAATAAGATTCGCGTGACTCAGAGGGCTATGGTGCGCCATATTGGGGGTCTCTCCGAGAGAAACCGAAGAAGGAACGAAGAAATACGTCGTAGAACAAAATGGAATACGGCAGGATAAGTTGCCTGATTATCAGAAAACCGATGGACAAAACGTATTTTAGAGAAGAAAATAGGACAAAAAGCAATAAGGAGCAGAGTACGCTTACCAACTAGTTAGACTGACGACCTGAAGTGTGTTAGCAATAACTGGATGAATGCCACACAAGACAGAGACAGATGGAAAGAGCTGAGGGAGACCTATGTCCAGCAGCGGACGCATACAGGTTAATAATGATGAAGAAGAGTTAACTAGACTAGTGGATCTCATTAAACGGCGAAGGTTTCATGCTTGAGGCATAATCTATGAAATGTCAAATATAAACTACTAAATATAATCTTAGTAGACACAACTGAAGGTAGAAGTGGACCAGGTAGCAAGCAACAGTCATCCAAGAGTGCATCAACATATTATTAATTGATTTACCCCTGAAAGTGAGTTCCTTCATATTGAAAGATCGTCGGTTATTTTGCTAGTATATTTGTACACAATATTTTTAAAATATAATAATTTATAATGGACTTTTGGATTTTACTTGGTATATTTGTAGATTATTTTCTAGTAATTTTCTATATTTTCTAGCAATATATAAAATATGAAAAATATCAGTATCATTTATTTTTACAGATCCTGGTACGACTTGACATTAAGTACTTAAATTATTTTGTAGTACGTAGCAGTTTCTTCTTCGCAATTGGCGAAAGGCTAGATGTATAATTTTTCATTTCACATCTAGCACTGCAACTTAAAAATATGATAACATTTTGGATAGTACTTCTGAATAATCACATCACAGTAAATATACATGTAGACGACAAAAATATTTGATGACCCACCTACTGTTCTCTCTCTCTCTCTCTCTCTCTCTCTCTCTCTCTCTCTCTATTATATATATATATATATATATATATATATATATATATAATATATATATATATATATATATAATATTAGTCTACTTACCGCAATCTTGTTCATCAGATTTATCGCCGCAATCGTCAGCACCATCGCAACTCCATTCATGTGGTATGCAATGACCATTTTTACATTTAAACCCATCACAATCGATCTTGCTGCTACATCCAATAGTTTCATCTGATCCATCCAAACATTCAGGTACGCCATTACACACCCAGTCATTTGGAATACACAATCTATCAGTACACTTCCAATGACCATCTTCACAATGCTGATCAGTTTCGAGAGTTAGCTAAAATGAAGAAAACTTATATATAGAGAAAACTCGATTATCGAATAAAACATTTCTGTTGTATATTTAATTAAAATTAAATGAAGGAATTTAAAACAATTTAAAAATTTTTAACAACATTAAAAATCCAAAAGGATTAAATTCAAAACGTTTTCAAACTTCTCCAGTGAACCTAAAAGCAAGTAATACCACTAAACTGATAAAAACGTAAGGTAAAAAATTTTGACTATTATATGCATACATGTAGTTAATTAAATACTTTGTAGTACTTGCAAAATAACCTCAAAACTAAACAATGATTAGGTTGTTAAAATAATCTGGTGAAAGAAATGTCACAATATCCAAATTTTTACAATGAAGTTATAGACAAGTTTGCGAAAAATGGTAGAAGAATTAAATTACTTTATAAATAGGTCTCATTTACATACCAAATATTAAAAATATAAAATCGATTAACAAAAGAATTAAAATTAAAATCGATATTTTCTTTTAAAATAAACTTCTAAATCCAAGATTATTTCAGGGTTTTGTCTTGGTAACTTGTCATTTCTTTTATTTTCTTATGGGGGTTAAAGCTGTCAAATTTTGCCTGTAGTATCTCTATTTCACCGAATTTTTCGTGTATCCATTGCTACTTAGATGACTTATTAAATTGCTCTGATTACTATTTAATGTAATTTCTTATATTTCTCTTCATTTTTACGCCTGTGTTGTCTTCTTTCTTCCAGAAACTCCAGAACAGCGTCTGTCATCAATTCCTGTCTTTTTGTTTTCTCGTTGAGTTTCAGTTCTTTTTGTGTTATTGTGATTGTCTTTTATTTTCCACAAGGAAAACAATTCCTGTAGCTGGCTGTATACCACGTATCACAAAAAAGGAGGTTAGTCTTCGTAAATGGGTGTATTTATTTAAAAACCCTTAAAAGGGCTACATAAAAAAAGCCCTTTTAAGGGTTTTTAAATAAATATAAAAAATATGTAATTTCATGCTGTCTGGCTAACATATCTAAAACTATTGTAGGAGATTAAAGACGAAAAAACGACGCTTTGAAATGACCTCAAGTGATTTCAATAATATGAAAGCGGTATTATGCAATGAAAAATTGGGAATAGAAATAAAAAATAAAGTATTTGAGATGCTGCCTATTATGTGTCCTATTATTTGAAGTTGAAGCATGGACAATTACGGATACATCTGAAAAAAGACTTGCTATCTTTGAGATGTGATATTATCAAAGGATGTGGAAAATATCATGGACACAGCACATAACAAATACGGAAACCTTAGGAAGGATGAACACTATGAAGGAAAGAAAAATGAGCTGCTTTGGTCACATACTAAGAAATGAAAAATATGACTTAAGTAATTTGTTATATAAAGTAAAGGTGGATAAAGAAAAATAAGTAGTGGAGTGAAGAAATTTAACGTAGTGGAGTTGAAAACAACAATAGAACTTTTCAGAACTACTGCAGACATTATAAAATGGGTTATGATGATCGGCAATATACTTAAAGGATGAGGCACACTAAGAAGAAGAGGATTTTAATACGCTACGTATTCAGTGCCTCTTTTTTTGCAGTGCAAACTACCAATAAACTGTTATCTCTTATGTCTGCGGCAATATTTATTTGATAGGATTGAATACTGTTAAAACGTGCAATATATTTCCATGAAAACAAAGCGTACGTAGCATATAATGTACAGATTTAAAACAAAGTTTTATCAATTCATCAAATCACTTTGCTTCTGTAGTAATAGTCATAGTAGTTATTAAGAATGGCTTATTATCAAGTAAATAGTATCATAGACATATTATCATCATCATTAACTATCCTGTATTTGTTCACCGCTGAACGTAGGCCTCCTGTAAAATTTTCCAACATATTTATATCTTAAACTTCTTGCATCCAATTTGTGGTTATTCGCTTTATATCGTCCATGTAGTCGATGGTCTTCCCCTTTTTCGATATGTCTTGGTCGCCATTTCAGAATCTTTCTGGCCCATCTATTATCCGTCAATCTGACAACATGTCCGGCCCAAGCCCATTTAGCCACGGCTATTTTTTCAACTATATCCGTTACTCTTTTTTTCTTATTTCCAGCTTTGGTACTGTATCTCTAATAGTTATATCTATCGTTGATCTTTCCATAGTGGTTGTGTAACTCTTATTTTATTTAATGTATTTTTTGTCAAAAGTTAGTGTTTCTGCACCATATGTTAGGACCAGTAAAACACATTGGTTAAAAAATGGAATATTAGACTTGAAAATGCTGTTCAATCTACCAAAGGTAGCCCATGTGAGAACTATTCTTTCTATTTCAGTTGCTTGATTATCTCGGCCTAAGCAAATATTATGCACTAGATATTTGTAAGATATGAAGGTTGGTCATAAATTTTATTTTTTAGGTGTTAATTTTAAGACCAATTGTTTTGATGCCTCATAGAGCGACTCCGGCATTTTTGTAGCTTTATCAACTCTATCAGATATTATAACGATATCGATATTGTCGGGAAATCTTAGGTGGTTTTCCATTTAATTTCGAATATAAGAAAGATAGGCTTGTATTCTGTGCATTTTTCTATAATCGTTTTAAGAACTTGTAGATGATCATTATTACAGGCATATATATAAAAGACCTAGACCACTACACTCTCTCCGGGGAGTCAGGATTAAATAGAGAGAGAGAGATGATTATTTGTTCCGTATCGATTCACAACCTCCTTTGTTATTATGTTCATGAAAGTGTGTATGTAAATTAATAGGTCTGTAGTTATATAGGTCTGAAATGGTTTTTTTGTGCATAATGGATATTATTGCATTATTCCAATAGGAGGGGGATACGTCTTTTGTCAAACAAACATTGCACACGTTTTTCAATACATTTATTATCATCTCTCCTCCCTCTTTGATATGTTCTATGACTATCCTATCTTCTCCAGGTGATTTATTATTTTTCATTTTCGAGAGAGCCCTGTTTATTTCCTCTCTTGTGTTATCTGGGATGTCTTCTGATACTATATTTAGAAGTTTTGGCTTTTGACTTTGATTATGATCTGGAAGTTTTTCTCGTTTATACAATTCTGAATAAAATCCTTAAGTAATTTTTAAAATATCTTCCTTATTTGTTTTAGTTTCTTCTTTGTTATATACAAGTTTGCAAATATTTTTCGATCCTTTAATCATTTTTCGACGCAGAACCTTTAAACTTTTATTTTTGTATGGTATAATGGTTTGTATAATAAGTTAAATCTTTATTTAACTGTCTAAATATTACAAATTTGTTTTTGATTGTATTGTTTATCATTGGTTAGAGTTACAAAATTGTTTGTAAGTAGCTTGGGTGAGCTCCTCCTCCCTTTTTTATTATATTTTTATGTGCTTTTCAGTCGCATTATTTATTCTCATATTTGTCACCTCTGTGTATAAATCATTTTTATTTAAATTTTCTACTTCTTTAAGTTCTGAAGTTATGAGATTTTAATAAGCTACTCTATCTTTTATTGATTTCCATTTATTAGAATGCCACTCTCTTGTGATTGCTCTGTTCTTTCTTCTAATGTTGATCAATATTTTTGCTCTAACCAACTTCTGGTTACTACGAACAGTGATTTTATTCATTACAGTAACACCTTGGATAATTTTTTTTATGTTTGTGATTATGAAATCAATTTCGTTTTTCGTTATACCATCTGGACTAGCCCACGTCCACCTACGTTGTTGGTTCTTTTTGGAAAATGTGTTCACGACATAGAGCCGTTAATTCAACAAAAAATTTAATAGCATACCTTCCCAATCGTTTCGCTCATTGTATCCAAATAATCCCATAGCCACTTCTGCGTTATCTTCTTTAAATCCAGGTTACACGTTAAAATCATCAATTAAGATTAGGTGGTATCTTTTTCCATAGCTGTATGTATGTCTTTCTAAAAGGTATGGGTTTCTATATGGCTGTGGATCATCGTGGGTATATATTTATTTGGATAATTTTAATAGAGCGTCTCTCGTTCAGTTTTAATAGGAGGTACACAATTTTTAAGCTTACAACTTCCATTTTTATAATTTTATATCATTGTTTCTTGTGCACGAGAAAGCCTACGCCGCCAACTGCACCTTATTGTTTCTCCAATGGAATGCAGCAGATGCCCTGTTCTTAAAACTAATTCTCCTTTTCTTTGTATTTCAAAAAGTCTCAATACATCCCATTTTATGCAGTTAAGTTCAATAAGTTTAATTCTTTCTTTCTTTCTTTCGCTCCTTCCTTTTACCCTATCAGGGTGTAGGATTTGGGCTAGCTATTTTAATTTCCATTTACCCACCTCTTCCATTCTTTTCTGTTTCTTGCCATTATTTTCAATTCCTCGAGAACCTTTTGTTTAAGTTTTCCCGCCTCTACTACTTGCTGCATCCATTTTTTTCTTGGTCTGCCTCTTTTTCTTTTTTCGATGTTCTTTGCTTCATTAACTTTTCTTGTTATTCTATTGGATTGCATCCTCATCAGATGCCCATACCAGTTCATTTGTCTCTTTGCTATTTTCTTCATTATCGGTTCCTGGTTGGCCATTCTCCTAATAGTCTCGTTGCTTAATCTATCCATTTTGTCTTTCCAACTATCCTTCTTAGATGTCTCATCTCCATTGCGTTTATCCTGCTCTTATGTTTTTTCAGAATTGTCCAGTTTTCACTTGCATAAAGTACAGTCGGTATCACTATTGTGTTATATATTTTTATTCCTGCCTCTCGTGTAAGTTCTCTTTTCCCATTATTGGGGCTAACGCATAGTATAACTTGTTTGATTTCTTTGCTCTATTTGTTATTTCCCAGTCTATTTTTCCGTCATTTGTTATTATACTTCCCAGGTATTCGTAAGTTGTTACTATTTCCAATTCTGAGTTTTTGCATTTTATCTTTATTTGATTATCTTCCTGATCTCCTTTGCCACTGATTATCATTATCTTACTTTTTTCCTCGTTTATCTCCATTTTTAGTTCTTCTATTTGTTC